ATAAAGAATACAATCTCTTTTAAAATAAAAAAATAAGAATATACTAATAAAATCTATGATTTATAATAAACTTTTAAAATTTTAACAATTTAATTAATATATATTTAAAACATTTATTTTCGTAAACAAATAATATATATTCTTAAAACAATGCTAGAAATCTCAAAACGTAACAAATAGTGAATAATACTATTTCTAAAACATTTTAACAGAATACTCTAGAACTTTATTTCGCTTAATCAGCGTATTTTTTGAACCAATAGAATTAGTTTGTTCGTTAATTTGGCGGGTTTTTAGTTTTCACAAATATTTTTTTTATTCTTTCGCACAAAGATGCTTTGAGAACATTCAAGTTTTTTATGTTTCCATGTATGTCCGTAAAACAAAAATTTTTTGTTTCGTACATAAACTTAAATGTTCTCAAAACGACTAAAAAACCTGGCCAGTTTTACGCAACTAAATTTAATTTCCGTGGTCAGTATTCGAGAGCGATCGCTCCCGCTTCCCGACCAAGCCTGCTTATCTAATTTTGTTGCTGAATGTAACTCTAAAGAAACAAAAATAAAAACAGTACACAAATTATTTAAATTATTAATTTGTTTTTATTTTTTTCTATTTCAATCTCTTTTTATTTTGTTAGTTTTGTTTTTTTGTTTTTGAAACTTTTTCAGCATTATTATAAAACTTGCAAACAGCCGTGTTCATGTTTTCTAAAATATTATAATCGCGTGTGGTCATACGAGACAAAAACGAGAAAAAATATATATATATATATATAATACAAATTAGTAATACATAATACAATTATAAATTAGTAGAAAATCATTTAGCAAAATTTTTTCTCATTTAACACTGTGTTTCATCAATAAAGACTCATCAGAAGTTTCTGATGAGTCTTTATTATATATATATATATATATATATATATATATATATATATATATATATATATATATATATATATATATATATATATATATATATATATATATATTCCTGGTTTAGTATCCTTTACATAATAAATCCATCTCCGTATAATCATTCCTGGGATATTTTTTACTTTTAAGGCCTTTAACTGGTCTGTTAGGCTTGTATTTTTCAATTAAATCATGGTAGTTACTAATCAACTCATTAATGAGCTAGTAATTAATATTAGCTAGTAATTAATATTAAGCGATGTTGATAAGAAATCAAACTTTGAGTTCATAAAATGCTTAAGAATCATGTTGAGAACATGAAGATGGTACACTAAACCTGGAATAATTTTTGTCAAATGCTTGATTACTCCATTTTTAGAACCTTTATTTACTGCAGTGGTTTCACATATTGCAACGGAAATTTTATTTAATAAATTAAATTCCAAAATAATATTGTGTAACATGTTATAAATAGAAACAGAGTTGTCTATTTTATATATATCTTTCTCTAATTTTTTAAAGATATAACCAAAGGTTTAGACATGCTCGTAATGTAAGTGCTATAATAATATTGATTATTATCACCATATTTCTTCAGAAGAGTCTATATAAGACGTAATCAACCTTAATTCATGCACGAGTCTTGTAGATGCTTTTTGGACTGCCGATCTGCAAATCGATGTCTCACCAAATGCATTGAATACAGCTTTTGCAATTTTTTGCCCTACAACTTACTGGATACCCTTCATTTTTAGATATCTTAGCTACCATTTTACTGGTGATCTTTACATGTTTCAATAAGATTATGTAATCATCACTTGTACTATTATCTTTTGAACTTTCACTACTAGAATTCTCTGTATCATCAAACAAATGACTATAATTTATTCCAAGTTCTTCTCTTTTAGGTGGTAGGTCTTGTGGATGTGTTGTAGTAGGGTCTGTCACAATACTGCACTGACCTTTGCACCCATTGGAAGGTTTCTGAAGTTTATAAAAGAGTTTGTCTTCCAGATTTTTAAATTTAGCCTTTTTGGGCAATAAGTCAAATAATTTATCCCAGCTATTTATAATAATAGTCTTTTTATTTGTACTTTGTGGAGATTTGATAACAAATTTATAATTTTGAATAGCAGACTTTACTTTTCTTTGCACAGATTTTTCCATAAAATATGGTATCGTCATTTTATTCCATAATTGACAAACTTCAATTGAGATTTCTTTAATAACATCACTTGATCTTAAAATGTTACCCAATCCTAAAAGGAAATGATATCTTCCTAACATCTGCCTGGTCTTACATAATTTTGAAAAATCCATAAGCGACTTCTCAATCAAATTTCCATATATACCATTTCTTGGCTTTAAAGTATTGGAAGAGTAATCAATTTCTTCAATTAAATTATTTTCTGATATCATATACATCTAAAATACAGATTATATTTAAATATATGCAATATATAATAGTTAAACATTGTTTAACTATTATATATTGTTTAATAAGCAATATGAGTTATTTAAGCAAATTTTTAAACTTTTGAATATACTTTAAAATGGATTTGTGTAGAGGGTTTTTTATATTAATATAGTTTATTTTTGTATTTTTGTGAGTTTTAGGTATTTATTCCACCAATAGTTATAGGGCTGTCACTTGAAGAAAAAAAATTCCCACACTAATATATATATATATATATATATATATATATATATATATATATATATATATATATATATATGTATATATATATATATGTATATATATATATATATATACACACACACACACACACACACACACACACACATATATTTATATTAGGGTAATTCATTCCCAATAATTTTTCAAAAAATGGTTACATTACTTGCATAATGGGTAAATAATGGGAAAAAAACGTCTGTTTCAAAAATTTAAAGTGTCATTTAGAGGTCACTATCTTGAAAAAGTGGAGTTTTTTACCCTTGATCAACTTTAGATTTAAATAACTTAAAATAATTAAATTTATGTCATGCTACTTGGTGTATATATTAAAAGTTATTGAATGAATATTGGGTTAAATTTTCAGAAAAATTGATTTATGTCTAAAGGTCATTGCTTAGAGGTTGCTTTATTAAAAATATAAAGCTACAAACCCTTTTATTTTTTAAAATACTAATGAAAATATGATTAAAATTCAATTAGGTTAATTTTAGGCCTAGTTTTTTTTTTTAAGAAAGTACTAATAATATAAAAACTACTATACTTTTTTAAGAAAGTACTAATAATATAAAAAGTACTGTAAAGTATTAATTAGTTTCGATTTCAAATTAGTTGGGTTTTTCTTTTTGTGTTGTTCAACAACTTGTAAAATAAATTGACGTTCTTCATTTTGTGCACACTAGCAGAAATCATCAATAAGCTTGATTTCTCTTTTGTTGCATTTTTGTTACTTCTGATTGTTTAACAAAATTTTCTATAGTTTGATAATCTTGAAAGAATAGATTCATCTGGAATCATTCTTGATCATCATCTCTCTTGTAGATTCATCTGGAATCATTCTTGATCATCATCTCTCTTGTAGATTCATCTGGAATCATTCTTGATCCTAGTAAATTGAAAAGAAGCCAAGACTGTGACCTAATTGAAAAAAAAAAAAAGTGTGATGAATTTAATGTTGAAAATTAGTTTCCTAATTTAAAAAGTGTTTGGTCTTGGGGTAGAAAAAAGTTTTTTTGCCATCATTGTTCTGGTGAAGTCTGACAACTTTTCATTAAATAAAGATAAAATAACAAGCACTTTGGTTAACAAAGGTTTAATTAGGTTTAAAGATTAATCGAAAAAATAAAAGCAGTTATCACAAAATCCTCATCTCAATACTAGTTCATTGCAACAAAAAATTTAAAGTCATCGACTGGATTAATTGCATTAAATAAAATTAATGCGGTGGATCATATTTCGCTCATCATTGGACATAATAAATTTATCATATAAGAATTCCATTTTTTAAAAAATGAATAGAATATGCCATAAAACTCGCATTGTGAATTGCATCTGATTTTTGAATTTTGAGTATTCTGTTCACTGATAGTTTTCCCCCAATGTAGATTGAGTTTTCTCCCAAGGGTAAACTCAATCTACTTCGGATTGATACTAAAATTGATATTTTTTCCCTGAGGTGGCTAGGAAGCATTTAAAAATAGATACATCTGAACTCTTGCTTCACCTCGTAATGCGGTAAATGCATGTTTGACGTGTAGCTCCTTATGATGATGGCCATATGCCATCATCATAAATCATCAATTTATAACTAAAGGAGAGGTCTCTTTAACTTAATTTTGATTAAAGTTGTTGCTCCTTTTTTATTACTTATATTGCTGGCTGTTATATCAAAGCATATACCAACATTGTTTTCCAAAATTTTCCAATCTTGCACAAGTTTTTACCTGTTGAATTTTTAATTAAAGGTATACCAATAAGTTTTGGCCTGCAAATAGGTCAAAAGTTAATTTCTTTGAAAACAACATTAAAAAATATACATAGTATTCAAATTTGAAAACAACATTAAGAAATATGAAATCTTTATGATCTAACTTCTTGAAGTTTTAAACATTTTGAAACACCTAGGTTGACGCTATCTGTCATGTGATATTTTCTGCTACTCCTATGATCTTCTTAAAATGTCCAATCTTCTTTCCATAATGGTCTTTGTAATATCAAGATCATTTCATATGCATTTACTGCTGAAATATTGTAAAATTGTTCAAGTTTATGGGTTTTTTTTATTTTTTTACTTTCATCATTTTCCCCAATTTTGAAAGTAATAAGAGCAAGAGTTGATCAAAACTTTTTAACAACTACAACTTTATATATATATATATATATATATATATATATATATATATATATATATATATATATATATATATATATATATATATATATATATATATATATATATATATATATATATATATATATATATATATATATATATATATATATATATATATATATATATATATATATATATATATATATATATATATATATATATATATATATATAGACAACTTTTGGCATTAATTAATCAAAGAATCAATTTTTAGGTCCCGTATTTGTACCTAACTCATGGAGCTGTTGAAATTGACCCAGATGATTTATGGGATTTGTTTTTAAAAGTTGTTAAAGAAGCTATTAAGAGTAAGTGAAATATATTTATGAAATATTTTAGTTTTTCAGGAGCATCAAGTTTTTTATTTAACTTAATTTTATTTAAAGTCAATTTAAAATACTTTTTTTTTCTGTAGAGAGTTGTCTAGAACCAAATGCTTTTCAATGTATTGGTATTTCATGTCAGCGATCAACAATTATTCTATGGGATAGGTTTAATTTTTTTTATAATTTTTGAGAGTTTCTATTTGTTTTCAAAAATTTATATGTTTTATTTTTTTTTTATGTACAAAAAAAAATTATTTTGATGTAAGTCATATGGACAGGATAAAAAAATACCAGGGGCCCCATGCAGAATATGGACCTCTAGTTGGGGGATTAAAAAACAACTTTTTTTAAATGTTTGTTCTCACCCCTAAATGTGTTTTATTATATAATAACACTGGGTTTGAAAAATTCATAATATAATATAACACTAGATTTATAAAATTTACATTTAGTGTTAGCTCATAAATAATAAAATTTATAAATAATAAATAAAAAATAAAAAAATTTATAAATAATAAATAAAAAATAAATAAATAAAATTTACATTTAGTCTTAGCTCAATACCCTCAACATCAGACAGGTCCTCAACATCAGACAGGTCTTCAACATCAGACGGATCTCAAAAAAATTTATATGAAAATATTATATCAATTAGGTCTCTCAATTTCGAATATTTCAAACAAAAAACAAAGCTGCAATAGCAAATTGCATAGACTTTGCTAGACTTTTTTTTGACAAATTTTTTTAAACTAACTCTTGTTCCTGCTATTTAAGTCGCTGAACACAATATGTGAATATGTGCATCAGAATGATATATAATAAATAAATTTGTTTTGTCCGCTCAATTGTCCTGGTAATCCTTTTACAAAAAAATAAGTGCTTCTAACTTGATGAAAAGATGCTACAGCACAAATTATGTAAACCAATAGTGTACATGTTTATGCTCTACCATGACATAATGAAAAACCTAAAGCCTTAATTCTTATAATAGATTATGAAAATATGAAATCGTTTTGTTATAATTTCACATTCAAAAAAAAATTATCGTTTCTCCCTTTCCATCTCCCCTGACTATGTGACCTAATATTAAATGGGTGGGACCATTTTTTTGAAAAAAATTCAAGTTGTGTTCTTTTATAGATGAAAGGATACAAAAAAGTTTGCTGCGTCCCTTCTAATTATGTAAATAAATTAAGTTGTTTTGTATTTTCAAACCATTGCACAGTGGGTCAAAAGTGACATTTTGTAGCCAAAACCTCTGAAACCAAAATTTTTTTATTTTTTTTAATTAGAAACAGTTTATTATATTGAAAAACATAATTTGTGGAAAAAATAACATTTGTTTTTTAAAAACTTCAAATTTTATTACATAATTACGCAAATTATTAAAAAACTCATTTATTTTCCATTTATAAAAAATTGCATTTTTACCCAACAAAATTAACAACAAGGATATTATTTAAATTTATGTTTTACGCAGAGTATTCTATCGTTGGCTCTTGCAATAGTTCAAGTACACCAGATGGTAGACTTTTTTTTTGTTATGTATCTTCTTTCTTAATGTGCAAATTTAGGGATCAGATGCACATAAAAGGCGGTGAAAAAGTTCTATATTGTTTTTTTTTCCAATCACATTTTCTTGTAAAATTTTCACGAAAAATCTTAAAAATCTTATTGGTAGCCTCTTCAGAAACCTAATGGAAGAGTAAATAGTTCAATGACTTCATAGCCATGAATCAAAATCTTATGAAGTGTTTGAGTCATAGGATACCAAGGGTACAGGAATACATAGAGCGAAGCAGTTTCCCAACAGAATGTTTTAAATTTGGATGAGTTAATTTCATAACCACTTGATATTGTGGCCAGAATAATATGAAGCCTTTTCATAAGATCTACATCGATGTTCATTATACTAGCTGAGACATCGTATTGCTGAAAAAATCGCCTAGTTGTGTTGCCATCGTTTGATGTACCTGCCCCACCTATTCTCGGTTGGTCTATGACAAGACCTATCCTTGTTCGAAATTCAGCACAGACTTCAGCACTAACAATATTTTTTTTGTCTTAATTTCTAGCCTGCCACTTGATAATCGGCATCTTATAAGAGATATGGAGCATACATTATAAAAACCTTATCCAAGCATGCAAAGTTGAAACGCCATGTTTTATATTGCCTTCTAAAGTTTTTTTTTGAACAACTAAAGATAAATTGTTCATTTCGATTGGAGATGCACCACACACTGAACAGCATTGGTATGAGTTGGTTGCTGTGGAAATAATAGTTTGAATTTTTCTATCTATCATTGTTAAATTTACAATATGCTGTACTTCAACTTCCTTTATTGTACCGTCCTCTAATAAAACAGGTACAACAGATAATGTTATTTCTTTAATAGAAGCCATAATTGACTCATATTCTGCAAGAATTACTTCATTTGATTCTTTTCTATATTTAAATCTCAGAGGTCTGCAGTAATTAGTTGACAATGGTTTCGGATTTCTCCAAACAACCTGTTTTTTGTCATCTTTGAAACAATATAGTTCTAGAGGAACCAAGCAAGTTATGAAAAGTGATTCATCTGTATGAAGTTCACTAGAAACATCTGACAGTTGTTTATAAACAGATTGTTCTGTTGCACCATCAAAATCAGCTTTGTTTATTATAAATAGTTTAGTACAATCTTTAAGCACAGGTGAATTTAACACAACACTATAAGCTGAACATATTCTTGATGCAGTATGAAAAAGAAGAGCTTGTAATGGAACCTCTGCAGAGTAGTGAATTCACTGACCTGAATGTTTTCAGGGTAGCATTTATTTTTAGCCTCTTTTACAATATGATAGGATGGGTATAGAGAGCTGAATGGAAGAGCATTGTTTCTTAAATGCTGATAAATTTCTTTGGATAAATTAGCATCTAAGACTAGCGCTAATGATTGTTCTGAAGTAAGTGATTCTGTCAATAATTCTTTGTTGTATATTTTTTTAACCACTTTTGCTTCTATAAACTTTTTATCCCTATTCAAACTTTTACTTGCTGCATATAAAAGTGCATTTAAATTATGTTTACTTAAAAGCTCTTTAATTATGCGATCTTTAGTTCTCACAGACGCATCTTCAAACAAAATCGAAGGGCGTCTACCTTAAAGTATAGTATTATTTTATCAATTATTAAATCGTCGTAATAATAATACAAATAAATTATACACATAATAAATTTACACATAGTTAAAGTAAACATACCACAGGTTTTTGTTTCGATTTTTTTTTTTACAGTCAAATATAGTTTGGTTTAACCAAACTTCAGGCCTTGTTTTAAATAAAAAAGTGCTTAATGCATTAGCTTAACGCGATTTTGACGTCATAAAATTATCTTTATTTTTTTTTATAGACGTTAAGTGTTTTAACTACCGCAATAAATAAATAACCGCAAACTAGTTCAATTTAACAATTTAACTAGTTTCAATTTATCTATAAACATTTTAAATGTAAATTTATTATGAAAATTTTGTAATGTTTTCAATTGTTATTTTATTATTAATTTTAGTTCAATATTATTTAGTAATATATATATATATATATATATATATATATATATATATATATATATATATATATATATATATGTATATATATATATATATATATATATATATATATATATATATATATATATATATATATATATATATATATATATATATATATATATATATATATATATATATATATTAATTATTTCTGAAATTAATCGTTATTGAATAAAAAATAATGATTTTTTTCATTTTTAAAAATTTCTAGAGTAAACAAAAAATATTAAAATTGATAAACGCAAACCCATGTTAATTATTTAAACAACGATTTTGTTTTGACAAGCAAAGAAAAATTTAGGTTTTTAAATTCTTTTTAAACTTATCTTGTTTAGCGTTTTAACTTGCGTTTTATAAAAATATAATAAAGTTTTGTCTGCTTTGAGCATATTTTTGATACATAGTTTAGAACGCGTTCGCCAGGAATTTAATTCATAAATTTTTCATGTTATTGTAAAAATATTTTACTTTTTAAACAAATCACAAAGAAACAGAGCTATAGAAAAAAATCGTTTTTAACGATTAAATCTTTTTTTTTAAATTTTAGGAAATTAAAAAAAAAATTAAATTAAATATAAAAGTCTTAATTATGCAAACTCTTTTGTTAATTATTCTTAAAACAAAAAAACAAATACTTCTACGCAAAACTTTAATCGTGCAAACTTAAAAACTGAAATAATTTAGGTGTATTTAATAATTTGAAGCGTATCTGTTTATAATAAATTTGTTTATTAAAAATTAAGTTCCTTAACTTATAAACAAACTCAAAAGTATTTTCATTCTAAGTATAATTACAAAACTCTTTTTTTTCTTCGTTTGTAAGCAATTTAACTTAATAAAATAAAAAAAGAATAAATATGAGGTAATCTTTGTTAAGAACAAATTTAATTTATTTATTGAACTATATTTTTATTTTTAATTATATATCAACTTAATTAAAATATAGTAACATGTTAAAATATTTTAACATGACTTGTGTTATTTATTTTTTGCCGTAAGGGCAACTGCCCAACGGCAGTTGCCCTTATGGCACCATTGTTTTTGGATAATATTTTATTTTGATGAAGATCACATAACGTAATAACGTAAGTCTTCTCTTTTTCTGTGATCATTGCATCGGCAAAGTCCCAAGATTTAAAAGTTTTTAAAGTAAATCTTTTGTCCTTCAAAATACAATCCATATTCGAACTTTAAACAATTTAGAGATAATAGAAATATACAAGGTTTTTATATACTAGTTTGTTTTGTTTTATAAAGAAAAATACATATTCATTAGTAAAAAATGGAGACTGTCATTAAACTAAAACGTGCCTTAGTATTTATTTAACGGAACCTGTAATGTGCGCGTGCATAATAAAACCTCCGTTATATAAATATATTTAACGTAATATTAGTGTCATCAGCGGATGTTGTAGTCTACTCGTGATTTCTTTACCTTATAATATAACTTGATTTATGAAAAAAAAAAACTTATTGAATCGCACGCAGAAGAAATTTAACAAATTGTCTTCATTCAAATATTGCGAGTAACAGGTAATTTTTTTTTTCTGTGCCGACCCCCTCCCCGCGCATAACTTAAAGGTAAAGGTATCTATATACCTTTAACTAATAAGAAAAGCAAAGACATTTTTTTTAATATCTCGAAAAAATGTCTTGATATTTTTGTTATCATGATAACAAAAATATTATGACATTTTTTGAGATATTCAAAAAAATGTCAATTCTTAATTACAAATTTTTTTGCAAATGTTTTTTATTATAAATTCAGTAAAAAATTCTTAAAAAATCTATATTACAAAAAACATTTATATTCTGTATTAATAAATATGGAATATAGATTTTTTAAAAGTTTTTTACTGAAAACTCTAAAAAATTACTACTTTTTATTAAAAACATTGCAAAAAATTTGTAGTTAAGGATTGACAAACAATTTTTCATGTTGCTAAATATTTGGATAAAAAGTTTAGCGTCAAATTAATTGCTATAAAAAGGAAAGATATATCGCGATGAAAAGTTACAACAATTATTTTTAAAATAAATTCTTTTTTTTAATAAATATCTTTACATATCGTTATTTAAAAGTTAATGTGGTTTTTTTAAAAATTAATTACTTCTTTTATGTTACCGCTAATTTAAAAGTTAAAAAATGATAAAAAGTAGCTTAACCAAAACAGCTCTACGCGTACGTAAAAATCGCTTAAGGTGTACGTAAATCGCTCTAGGTGTAACGCTTTAAAACAAGGCCTGAAACTTTATATCTTTTTTCAAATTACTGCACTCGTTCTATTCGATTTTTTCCACTTGTTTTTAGCTTGGTGAATGAATTTCGAAATAATTAACAAGTTATCATTAGATTCTTCAAAATTGCTTTGGGAAACAAAACTCAAAATCTTTGCATGTAAATCATCATTTTGTAGTAAATTATTTTCCATTATATAATTCATAAGACATCTCCTATCCATTTTTAAGAGATTGTCTGTTCAATAAAATACTTTTAATTTGAAAGAAAGTAATTTAAAATGTTTTTAATAAAGTAATTTTTTTACGAGCAGTAACTATGAAACTCAGTTCCTTTCCTATATTTCTCATTGGTTGTTATCGTGTTTTTTATCGATTACATATAATTTTATTGTTTTCGGAAATTATAAAATAAATAATAAATATTATGTCCCAAACTTGTACTACGTAGAAGTATATAATTCATATTTTATCACAGTCTCTGAGTTTTTATTACTTTAAAATGGTAGCATAAAAAATTAGGAATAATGGTTTCAATGTGATCTAAATGTTCATTGAGCAAATACGAGGAAGTTACTGGAAAGCAATTAAAAAATAAAAATTATTATAAAGTCAAACTGCAGTTTTTAAATTTGAAATCTTCTTAAATTTTTTGTTATCGATCAAAAACACATTAACAAGAAATGTGGACGTAGTTAATTGAATTTAAAAGTGTATTCGTTTAGGCAGCTATAGGCAGCCAATTTTTATACCACAAGATCAATGTCATATTGGTATTCAATTATATATCATTTTAAGCGGTTGATACAGGTTGATTCGATGGTTTTAAATGATATTTTTGAAAAAAATAAAAACTTATAACTCAAAATTATTGATGTTTGCATTGTTGAAAATATTTATACAAAATGCAAAAAATATTTTTTTTTTTATGTGATTTAAATATTAACATAATACTATATAAGTCATTTATAAGTTAAAAAATAAGCTTAAACTTCTTTAAAATAAGAAATCAAAGTTTTCAAAAGATGTAAAAAAATAAAAATTTTCACACTTTTTTGTTGTTATTGATAAAAAGTATTTAAGGAAATATTTAAACAACAAATATGGTGTTTTATTGAAAAATTATTTTTTAATAAAATATAATTTCTGGCTTATTGATATATTGAGCAAAATTTGCCTTTTTCAAAATTTCATAATTTAAAAACTTTTTTGTATGGTTTTGCCGGCTTCTGACCCACTGTGCGTTGGCACCAACAATAAAAAAATTATTAGTCATTATTTTCAATCTTGCTATTTATTTTTTAATTTTTATCATATCAATATTTTTTAATTTAATTTTCAATTAAATTGAGCCTTATTTTCCATTTTCAAACACTATTTGAATGAATTATTTCTTTTAGTTTATTTTTTAATCTTTGATTACAGAAAAACAGGGAGTTCTTATTGCAATTTTATTAGTTGGCAGGACACAAGGTGTGCTGGAGTCACCATTTCTTACAACCAAAGTTGGATGCTAAAGGTAATCTTTTGTTATAAAGTGACCTGTCTTATTTTTTGTTATGAAGTGACCTGTCTTTTTTTTGAGTCTTGAAAATAATTTTTTTCCTGGCTAACAGAGCCACTGTAGGGTGAAACAAGTTTGTTCATTTGAATTTCAAGTTCAAATTTGAAGTTTAATTGAAATTTCAGTTACTTCCTCCCATTCTCCAGCTTTCTTTTTCCCATTTTTTTTTTGTTGATATTTTTAGTTATAAAAAATATTACTTTTTAATCTCAAAAAAATCAGTACATATAAGTTTAATGTGTAAATTTTTTTTTGTTATAGTTTTAAATTATGTTTGAAAATATTTTTAAAATTATTGAATATATTTTTAAAATGCAATAATAATAAATATATAAGTACAATCCTTGGAAATAGGGTCGGCATTTGGCAATACTGATCTAACTCCCGACCTGAAAGTGTTTGAGGTTTGCAATTTTTTACTGACCTCGTTCCTATGTTTTATGGTGAGACCTTTGTATCAAGTAATTTTTCCAACCTGATGCCAACCTCTAAAAAATTGAGGTCAGCAATCTATTGCTGGTCTCATTTTTTCTAATTCAGAGGGTTGCAAGTGCTATTGGACTTATTATTTGACTGTCAATTATTTGATTGGCAAATACAGATTCATATATAATTATTAGAATTGTTCAATCAATCAGCTTACATAGTCTGAATCTTGCTAATTATCATAAATTTATAAAAAACTCCAGAAAATTCTAGGAAGTTTCAGAGATTTCTAAAAACATCCAGAACAGTCTAAAAATTTCTAGAAAGTTCCATAAGGTTTAAGAAAATTCGAGGCTACAAATAGTTGTTATGCTACTGCCTGCAAATGCTACCTATGTACCATTTTTAAATTTCCTTGTTGTGGGTGACCTATTTTTGAAAATTAATTAGAATAAAACCCATTTTCATTACTTTATTATTCTAGGAAAAAATTTTGGCAGCGGTACTCCGTGTGTCAGCAAAATTAGGTCATCACTGTCAAAATATCTGAAAAAATATATACATATATACCCATCATATCTAATATCTATAGATATGATATATATCATATCATATCATATCTATATGTGTAAATGGTGCACACATATATATATGTATATATATGTGTGTATATATATATGTATATATATATAAATTAGTAGAAAATTTAAAGACACTTAGCAAAATTTTTTCTCATTTAACACTGTGTTTCATCAAAGGCTCATCAAAAATGATGAGCATTTCTAATGAGCCTTTATTGATGAAACACAGTGTATACATATATATATATATATATATATATATATATATATATATATATATATATATATATATATATATATATATATATATATATATATATATATATATATATATATATATATATATATATATATATATATATATATATATATATAGATTTTCTACTAATTTATATATATATAGATTTTCTACTAATTTATATTATATATATATACAAGAACTTGTCAGCATTGAATGAAAAATAGGAAACAATAAATTAAAAGTTTATAAGGTAAATATACAAACTAAAAGCAAATAAACAAATATACTAAATTTACCTTATAAACTTATAAACTTAGACAGATGACTAGAAAAAAAAATCAAGTTTATAAAGATGATTAAGTTATTTGTATTGTTACCCATAAATACTAAAAGTTTGATCTTGAACTCCTGTAAATCAGTAATATAAAATTGTAGTTTATAATTTTAAAATTTTCAAGAGGTTAAGATAATATTTATATACTATTCTAATACAGTTAACATAAGTTATGATGTAAGCCTAAATTTTTACTAAATAATTTATATTTTGTCATTGTTACTTGTTGGAAGAATTTGTTGATTCCATTGTACTTACCTACATTCCCCATTACAGAAGAAGCTCATTGTACCTACCTACATTCCCCATTACAGAAGAAGCTTTAAAAGTAAAGTCGAAACCACAATTCTAACTACTTTGCTATTTTTATCACTTAATGAACTTATCTTTTTTTTTCTTTTCTATATATTTTTTTAAATAATTTATGGCATTGCTGTGTTAAACATCTCCTGAGGTATTATTGTGTTGAACATTGACGTTTTTCGAAGTCCCATTTTTCTTTTGCTGGCATAACATACTTTTCTACAGGTGGATCAGATTTGCATATTCTTGATAAATGTTCTAATCTTTGAGTCAACAACATCTAATGTCAGTTTAAACTAATTATATCTTGGAAAACATTTCTCTAGCTTAGCTATATATAGCTTTGCACATATTAGCTATATATAGCTTTGCACATAGGGATGGTTCAAAGTAATTCGTTATCTTTTCAGTTCTTACAAAATCCTTTCAGTTCTTACACAGCGAGAAAATATTTTTGTGCACAAATAAAAACAGAGAGTGCCATTTACTTAACACATTTATGCTAGCACATTTTTAATGTCAAAACTAAAGGTATGTAATAAATAAGTATTTTGTGTCTAATAAATTATTCTTTAAACCATCTGTAAATTTTTAATAACTACTTTTTGATCCTTCACAATTTTAAAATTTTAGAATAAATTTTAATATTTGCTTGTCTTTCTTCTTTTAAACAAAATTTAATGCAACTTTTCATACATTAATTTTTGATTTAACAGTATGAAGTGACCTGTCTTATTTTTTGTTATGAAGTGACCTGTCTTATTTTTCGAGTCTTGAAAAAGAATTTCCCTGTCTAACAGAGACATTTGAAATATTTTACACGTGGAAGCTTTTCAAAAAAAATTTTCATTAGGATTCATTAATGCGACATTTCTTAGACCTTAGCTACTTTTTTAAATGTTGATTGCTCATTGACATTCTTTAGTTGCACTTTTTATGCTTGTTTTTACGCTAGTGGTAATGTATGTATGTATTTTTTCTGTATATAGTAAATTTTCAAAAATATATTGTAGATAGTATTTTTTTAACTATATAAGTGTTTTAGCGACATTTCTTGTAGTATGTAAAGTTATAAAACATCAAAAAAAACATCGTACTAATTTTTCTTTTTCTTTAAAAAATTAGTATAATGCTGTTTTTGATGTTTTATAACTAATTTTAACTATATACAATATTAAAAATATTGTATATAGTATTTTTTAAACTATACAAGAAATGTTGCTTTTATTTTAGGGAATCAACATGATTGGTTTTTTTCTGTATACATTGTGCAGACACAAGATGTTCTTGCTCATGAAAGTTCTTAAGTTCAAAGTAAATTCTGTAAGAAAAGTTTTTTAACTATGATTTTTAATTTCTTATATTGATTTATTATAATTTTATTTATTATAAATGATTTGAAATTTTTTTAGGGCTCTATGAAACTTGCTTGGCTCTTGGAAGTAAATCCGAAGGTATTTAAAATTTTTGTTTTTAAATATTCAGTATATTATCTATATAGTAGTTTTTCTTTATCAAAGTAAACTCGCGTTGAAATGAAAAAGGATGTCTTGTACTGTTGTGCACTTCAACATTTTGACTACATTTTAGATCAATGAGTCTAACAAAATGTTAAAAGTATATTAAAGGAGAAATGAAGGATGGATAGATAGGATTCAATTTGAGATTAAGGAAGAAAGGATTCAAATGGAGAATTAACCCAGGAAAAAAAATTGTATAGAATTTTCTATCAATATTTTTGAAACATATGGCCTATAAAAATTCTATAGAATTCTATAGAATTTCTATAGAGTTTCTGTTAACTTCTATAATAATTCCTATTGAAATTTTTTTTTTACTTTTTTTTATAGAAAAAAAAAGTTTAATAGCAATTTCTATAGAAATTAATAGACATTCTATAGAAATTCTATAGAGTTTCTATAGGCCATATGTTTCAAAAGTTTATAGAAAATTCTATAGAACTTTTTTTCTTGGGAAGATAATAAACTAATTAACTAAACTTGTAAATAATAATCTTATTTATATGCAAACCTGAAAATATAATCAATTTTTTAGTTTAGCATGTGATTTACATTAGAAAATACAACAATTCCATAACTAAAGCAACTGCTCTTGAATACAATTTGAAAATATTATATAAAACACTTTTTAATAAATTTGATAAAATTTGTTCAAAAACAAAACAATTAGTAGTAATTTGTTACTTAATTTAAAAGTATTTTGCTTAACTTTAATAAAAGCATAACAAAAAGTTTCACTTCGAGTTTAAGTTTTTATTTTTATTTTAATGCTTATATATTTTCTTTTTCGTAAGAAGTTGTTTATTCTTTATTATTATTATTATTATTTTCTTCGCTAGTTTATGTTGAGTTTGGCATTTCTATTTTTAGCACATTTCTGATATGTTTAAATCATCAAAACATATAAACAAATGGTCAAGTTGTCGAAAAAAAAATCATTTGCATGGTCAGCAATAGCGCTCGATCACACACTATTCCTATTTAAGCCTACTATTTAATGCATGATAAAACCTATCAGTTATTACCGTTAACAAATCAGCAATAGAACGAGAAGATCGAAATCCATATTGATGATCAGAAAGTAAGTTATTAGGTTTAAGATGAGAAATTAGGTGTTTGTTAATTAAAGACTCCAAAACCTTGCTTATGATAGGAAGAAGACTAATGGGATGGTAGTTAGACAAGTTAGATCGCTCTCCAGAATTTTTGAAAATAAGGATAACAGATGTTGCTTTTCAACATGCTGGAAAACAACTCTAATAAGCATTTGTTAAATAGTTTTGAAAGTATAGAGGACAGCTCTGGAGAACACTTTTGCAAGACTATAAATGGTATGTTGTCCTGGCCACAAGCTGTAGAAGAGTTTCAGCAGGAAATCACTTTAGATACAGAACCTGGAGTAATACTAATGTCAAGCAATGATACCTGTTTGTTGGCTATATCAGGTAGAATGCAAAAAACTTTTAAAAGTTAAGTTTAAATCAACTTTATCAAAGCTTTTTTAAAATTTAATGCAAACAACTCAGCTTAAATGCAAACAATTAAGCTTAAATGCAAACAACTCAGCTTAAATGCAAACAATTAAACTTAAATGTAAACAACTCAGCTTAAATGCAAACAATTAAGCTTAAATGCAAACTCAGCTTAAATGCAAACAATTCAGCTTTGTATTTAGGTGAGGTAAAAAAATCTGAACCATGCAAGAGAGGTGGAATAACAGATTTGCCCTTATTATAGACTCTGTTAAGAAAATTATGGAAAGAGTCCCAGTCAGCTTTAAGGTAGTTGTAAGAGGTACAATAATAGGGTGATTCTAATGATGAAGAACAATGAGATAATAGTTTTAGAGAGATAAGACCATGATCACAAGCACCTAAGGCCAAAGTGGAGAATCTCAACCAGTGAATGTGGAGAAACTGAGCACTGACTAGAAACAAGACAAGTCAAGTAGAGAAGATAGATGGTAAATGATTCAAATTGTCTGGAAAACAAGTTGGAAAGTTGACTATTTGTGTTAGAGAAGACAAAAGTTGTGGGCCTTAACACCTGCAGAGTTATTGATACTAGAGCTAATCATTCAGTATGATGAGCATTAATATCATTAACAACAACAATATTGGCTGAAGGGTAAAGAGAAAGGTCTTGGTCAATTTGATCAGAAATAACATCAAAAAGAGTGCACTCTTAAAATGAAAGAGAGCAATATAAAACAAAGAGAAAGAAGTGAAGTGATGCTAAACAAAAGCACATAAAAGAATAGTCTGTGGATTCAAATCTAGTTTCCCAACAAATGGGTGAATTCTTACAAATATAAACCTCCAGGCCAAGCATGTAACTATTGGAGTCTTTACAAGTTAAAGGAAGATAACCATCAACACTAAAATCACATGATGAGACAGCTGAAGTTAGTCTCACAAAGAAGCAAGTAGGTCTGGTGAACTTTGCAAGAGATAAGACTCAACAGAAGAAAAGTTACTTCAAAGACCACAAATATCCCAGCAAACATTTAGTCTAAAAAAGACATCTTATCAAATATGTCTTTTAGACATGTGAGACGTTTTTTATACATCTAAAAAACGTTTTTTTTTTTTGACTAAATGTTTGCTAGGATTAGTGAAAGATAGATTACTGTATATTATTAATTTATATTTACATTGTATTATTAATTTATATATATATATATATATTACTATTATATAATTATTATTACTATTTAATGTTATTATTATATTATATAATATATATTTTTATTGTATAATTATTATTATATAATGCTATTGTATTATATAATATATATTTTTATTATATAATTAATATTATTATATAATATTAATTAATTATATTGTATTATTAATTTATATTTATATTAGTTTAATATATTATTATTGTATATTATTAATGATTGATTACTGTATATTATTACTGTATTTTATTTTATTTTTTTTTTAATAATTCACCTCCCCAAGGCTGAGAAGGCCACTACAGTTGAGGAGACTACTTTTATGGTTACAACCCTCTCTCAACTCTATAACTCCAAAGCACGACCCTCAACAAACAAGGCTGCTGCGCGAAAAAGCAAGTTGAGCGCAATACTACCAGGGACATAGTGGGCATCGAACTCGGAACTTCTCACTTATGAGGCGAACGCTCTACCACTACACCACTACCACATATACCGTATATACTGAATATTTGTGAATAATAGACTTACTGTAGAGAACATAATATTTTAAGAGCAAAAAAACATTTTGGGGTGGCTTTGCGGTTTTTTAGCTATCTATGTTATAATTATTTTTTTAATGAAAATTTTAACTAAAAAATAAAAAAATTATTTCAAAGTTAAAGGAAATGTTAACTGAAGGAAAGTTGTCTTTTGGTTCTATTGACACCTGGTTCATTTGGAAACTCAGTAAAGGTATATTTTTTTATTGAATAGAAAAAGCAAAAATGAAACTTAACAATATATTTTATTATAAATGTATATTTATAAAATTTATAAAAGTAATTATATTATTTGCTTTTTCATTTGTTTGATCATTTGTTTAATTTATTATTTGTTACTATTATTTTGTAGCATTGGTTACCATTGTTATTTTAGTATAGATTTCTTAAAAGTTTTAAAAATCCAACTAAATTTTAAACTATTTTTCAGGAAAGTTATACGTAACTGATCCAACTAATGCAATCGGAACAGGTTTATGGAACCCATTCAGTGTAATTTTTTATTTAATAGTTTAACTGTTTATTAAAAAATAATTTTATTTACAAATATAAAAAATGATAAAAAACTTTTTTCATGTTTATTTTTTATACTTCTTTTCTTTGAAAAAATCATTTTTGTGTATCTTTTTAAAGATCTCTAATTTCTTATTTTTTGTTGGTATATATAGTTTTTGATTATTTTAGCTTAGAGATATGAATTGAGGGAATTATCCCTATTGATGTTAAAATAAAAGCTTTTTAATCTAAGCTTATCAAAGCTTTTTAAAATTAATTGTCAAAGCTAAACCAAGTTGTTGATTAAAGTTGTTGAGTAAATTTTTATCTGTGGGAACTTAGTTACAGAATAGCGGGATCTTGTTATATAGTAGTGGGAAGCTTTTTTTCTAAATTCTAAAAAAAAAATTTTCTAAATGAAAGATAAACAGCTGTTATACTTTTATTAGTTTTTTTTTAGAATGATTGGGAACTCAGGCTTTTTGGTTTGCCAAATAGTGTGATGCCTTCTGTAATGGAAACAAGGTATCTTTAAAAATATTGTTATGTGACCCTTAAAAATTTTTTTTTTTTTTTTTTGATTTTACTGATAACATTAGGCTCTGTTAAGTTTTAAAAACTCCTTGATAACTCCAAGACTAAATAATGGTTGACTATTAATTAATATTTGTATGATTTTTTAATAAATACTGCTAAGAGTTTTTTTTTTATTAAAAATCAAGAAAATGCATATATTTGCATTAAGTACTAAACCAAGCTGTCAAGCCCAGGCAATATTCTTAACTAGGGTATATCCTATTAAAGTAATAAACCAAACCATTCCAATAGGATAATATATTATTTTAATATTATTGGTGGGTAAATTTATTTGATGAAATAAATCTAATTATATTGTTGAACCTGTGTGTGAAAACAAAAGTAACAGATAAAATATAATAAAATCTTATAGCTCTATTACGCAAATATTTAAAGTTTAATGATAATACATGATAACTTAAATAATAACTTCTAATCAGTTTTTAAATATTTAAGTTTTTAATATTGAAAATTTTTACAAATTTAAATTTATGCAGTTATTGTCAAGCGTTTTTTTATGTATTTATTGTCGAGCATTCATAGCTACTACTGCATTGTATCATAGCTACTACTGCATTGTAGTTACTATTGTATCATAGCTACTATTGCAATGTAGTTACAACTGCATTGTAGCTACTACTGTATCATATCTACTTCTTCATTATAGCTACTTGTTAAAACTACATTACAGCTACAAACATAGCTTTGTTAAAACTAGTGAGTGTTTTTTAGTTGGTATGATTACATACTAGCACTTTTTTTATGGTTTGTGAATAACACAATGTTTTGCTCTATCGTCAAGATTTCCTGAGAAAAAGCATAAAGTATATTTTGGAGTTTTCGTATACGTGTAATGCATTTATAACATTATATATATATATATATATATATATATATATATATATATATATATATATATATATATATATATATATATGCTGATTTTAACTCATTCTCTCTGCTGACACACTGACAGTGGCTCTCCAGAGAGAAAAACTCACTGAGAGAAAAACAAATCCACTCTGTATATTTTGTGTCTTTTTTCTATATCCCACTTTTAATATTCCTTTTCTTGATTCTAGTTTTTTTAATTCTAGGTATTCAGTTGTCACTACCTTTGTTATTGTTTATGTTGATTTAAAGCATTTTTTAAAATAAATATTAGCACATTTTGGGTACGATATTTTTAACAAATGAGAGAATGATTTAACTATATTCTTTATATATATATATATATTTCTTTTATATATTTATTTTCGTTATTCATTGACAGTTCAACAAGAAGTCTAAAGACAGTTTTGCTCCATAATGGGAACTGATTTTCTTTGATTCCAGTATCTCATTCCTTTCATCTAAAGGAAGACTACAAGAACATGAAGTTGTTGAGAAAATCAGCTATGACAGTTACAAGTAGGATGTATGCAGGATGTATAACAGCTACAAGTGGATGTATGTAGGATGTATGACAGTTACAAGTGGATGTATGTAGGATGTATGACAGTTACAAGTGGATATATGTAGTGTTTCTTCTTGGTCTACAAGGAGGATACACAAAGTACTCATGTTTTATTTGTTTATGGTCTATCCCATAGAGCTGCGGACCAGCAATTCACGAGATGTGATTGGCCAGTGAGAGAACATTTACAACCTAGTTCACACAATGTTATTAATCAATCCCTGATACCTGTTAAGAAGATCTCACTACCACCCCTTCACATTAAACTAGGCCTTGTCAAACAATTTTTCAAAGCATTAAACCCAGCCAGTGCAGCTTTCCAGCATATTTAGCAGATGTTTCCAAAGGTGTCAGATGCAAAAATTTCAGCAGGTGTATTCATTGGCCGCAGATTAAAGTTATGTTGGCATGTAAAGAGCTGGAGGACAAAATGTCTGCTGTTGAAAAAGAAGCCTGGATTGCATTTAGACATGCTGTTCATAATTTTTTAGGCAACAATAAGAGTGATAACTACAAAGAGCTAGTAGAAAACTTATTTGTACGGGATGCAGATATGAAATGCAGAATGTCAATAAAGCTCCATTACTTGCATTAACAATTGGAATTTTTCAGACCAAAATTTGGGTGATATGAGTGAAGAGTATGGAGAACGTTTTCATCAGGATATCCATGTAATAAAGAAAAGATACAAGGGCAAATGGGATGCAGCTATGATGGGTGGCTACATCTGGTGTTTGATACGCCCTGACAGCAAATTTCATAAAAGAAAACCACATTCTACTGTTCGCTTCTAGTGATTTTTGAGATTTTGAGAAACATTAAAACATTATGTAAAGTGATGTAATATTATGTTATATATGTATATAAGTGGTGTAACATTATGTAATATATGTATGTAAAGTGATGTAACATGTAATATATGTATGTAAAGTGATGTAACATGACATTTTATAATATAACATAACATTTTTGAACTTGTAAATGTTATATATTGACTAAAGTTGCATCTTGTGCAACATGATTAATATTAATTATATGTTAAATTGAATTTTTGGTTTTATGATCAAACGGTTGATGCAATTAAAAAAGCAAATTCAGACTCAGCATACTCAATAAGAAGCAAATTTTGATAAACAGAGAAAAATTTTTTTTTGTTACACTGTGTAATTTGATTTCTTGCACATAAACTGTTTGTGTAATTTATTAACTAAATTAACTTATTATTTTGATGTACATAACTTAATTTATCTTTATACTTTTCACAAATTTTAGTAATTACACTAGTGCATATACTTTTAGGTAAAAATCTTATTTACATTTTAGTCAGTTTTTCTGCAAAATAGATTATGATGTTTTTGGTTCTTCACTTTCTTTAAATTCAGTTGTAAGTAACATTTAATTTCTTATATTTTTATTTTTTATTAGATAATTTATTTTCTTATGTTTATTTTTATTTAATAGTTTATTGTTTTATCTATCAAAATATTTTCTTAAAGTGTTTTTAGGGAACTGTTTTTTCCCTAAACACAACAACAGATACACACACACGCACACGCGCACACACACACACACACACACACACACACACACACATATATATATATATGTATATGTATGTATGCAACCCTCGGAATTAGGGTCGGCATTCAGCATTGCCGACCCATCTGCCGACCTGAAAGTGCTTGAGGTTGGAAAAAAATTGCCGACCCCATTTTTATGTTTTATGATCAGACCTTTGTATCAAATAATTTTTGCCGACCTGATGCCAACCTCAAAAAAATTGATGCCAACCTCAAAAAGATTATTGCCGACCTCATTTTTCCTAATTCCGATGGTTGGTATGTATGTATGAAAGTATGTATATATGTATGTGTATACATAATAGATGTTTGCATTTAAGTAACAAATTATTTTTGCCGTAGTTAATATACATAATATTCTACCTAACCAACCAGTACTTCCAACTCATCTGTTGGATCATCTACCTAACTCATCTGTTGGATAATGACCAACCAGTACTCATCTGTTGGATAATGAAACAATTTTTCAAATGACTAAAATTTTTGATGAATGAAATGCAAAAATATTTTATAAAATAGTTATTTTTTCAACATTTAAAAAAATTATTTGCATTGTTTTACTCATTTAAATTTTTGCATTTTTTAATGTTAAACAACAATCATTTTTTTAATATCAAGTTTTTGCCAACAAAACTTTTTAGAGTTCTCTATTTCATATTAAAATAGATTTTTTTAAATGAAGTTTTTATTTTAATTGTAACAATATTTTTATTACATTTTTTGTAATTAATAGTTATGTAAGTATATCAATAAATATTTAAATAAGTATTCTTACCTTAAACTTTATTAAGTTGTAAAAATTTTAAAGTTTAAAAGAAATTTAATATTTTGAACCTACACCTAGTTAAAAAGTTTTATAGATAAATAAGATTTGGCACCAAGAATAATGAAGAAATGAAAATGAATTGTTGTTTAAGGTTTCCGATGTAGCAGCAGCTTCCTTTGCTCAGTGTTGTTTTAATATGGGTGAAATTAGCTGTATAATGGGGACTGGATGTTTTTTGTCAATTAATTGTGGTTCCTATTTACAGGCATCTATGACTGGTAATTTTGATTTAATATTAATTATTTCTTATATACTTTTTTTTTGTTCTACTTTTGTTTCCTTATTTTGTTTTAATCAAATATAATTATTATTTCATATAACCTTTTAGGACTATATCCACAAGTTTTTTTAGGATTATATCCACAAGTTGCATGGAAGATCAACAATGAGTATAAGTACACCTGTGAAGCTATGGTATCTGGAATAGCTTCAAGCATTGAATGGGCAAAAAATATTGGTTGGTAATCACATAACACACTTAACAAACATGTAAATATAATTTATCATATGGCCCATTGTGTAATACATTTTTAAAGCTTTTCTTTTTTTAAGGATTATTTGATGATGTATCAAAAACATCTGAAATTGCTTTTTCAGTAAATGGTATTTTTTTTTTAATTTCTAATTAAAATCTAATTTTAATTTTCTTTACCTCTAATTAATTAACAAGTTTTCTTTAGATAGCGGTGGAGTTTACTTTGTACCTGGTTTCTATGGGCTTTCTGTGAGTTTAAAGTCTTTTAAAGTTATGTTAAAGTTAAAGTAAGATTAAGTTTTTTTTCATTTGTAAACTGGTAACTTAACATCTCCTACATTTGGTATGTAACTTAACATTTGGAAGATAAACAACTTAATTATAAATTAATACTACATTTGGAACATTATATATAAATTTTTAAACATTTAAAATGTACAAGCCTAAAAAAAAATAAGATAAAATAAAAAATATCTAAATAAAAATTTTCCAGAGTTGAAATTAAAAATAAGTAGAGTTGTCACAAACAGTAGCATTATTAAGTCTGCTAGGTTAGTGTTAGAGTTAATCATAACAAATTGTATGCATGCAGGAAAGGTACAAGAATTAATGAAGCGATATCACCTATAGGTTGGGAAAAGGAATTTGCAAGCAAATCAGCAAATTAGTGTTATGAAACTTGCAAAATATAACAATATGTGTCAGCAATTTTTCAAAATAAAATAAAATAAAAACTACCATAAAAGATTCATGCATATCGACTGAAGTATATATCTGAAGCCATATCGGCTGAAGTTAGGACACTGATAAGCTGAAAAAGATACAGTGGAGGTGTCTATAATCAACAAGTTATAAAAATATCAAATTAAATAAATACAAATTGATAAAAGAATGTGAAAAAAGCTGTGAATAAAACCGAGTATGAAAAACCAATTCTTGACAAGATAAAGATAGATCCTCAAATATTCTATTTGTAAGTAAAATGACATGCAAAGGTGAAACACAATTTGCAATTGTTGAGAGACAATATTGGTGCAATAAACTTGCCCAAGGAAACAATGGTCATTTGCATAAATAAAAATTTCCAATATTTCGTCTGAAGAAGAAAATGTGCGTTAAATTTCAAGAGCGTAAAAAATAGAACAGTCGGATGAAAACAAAGTAATGTGCAATGTTTCTTATCTCAAATATTAGGATTTAGAGACTTATGGTAAGTCTTCAACAGTGTCATTAACTAAAGTAAGTCTAACATTTAATCTCTAACTCATGGGTCTGACTTTTTACTTCTCCCCAGAATATTTTTTACAAAATGCTAACTTAATCGCGATTGCTTGCTGTTTTATTGAAAGTAAATTAGAGTTTAAAAATATATAAATATATGCCACTATGTAATAAATGGTAAATTTAAATATAAAATTACAATACAAAAAGTATTATAAATTTTTTTTTAGCCCCAGCTATCAACCCCTGCTAAATTTTATAATTTTGCAGAGGTTGATAGCCCCTGTCACTTATACTAGTCACTTATTAGTCAACTCTCTCGAAACCTCTAGCAATCATATTCAGCCATACAATTGAGTCAGGTACAATACCAAATAGTTGGCATGAAACAAAAAGAACTTATTTGTTTAAAAAGGACAACCCATCTGTGGTGTTAAACAACAGATCTTTAACATTGTTATTAACATTGGGTCTATGAAAATCTTGGAAGGATTTATTTGTAAAGAAATCATTAACCATTTGCAACTACATAATACTCTCACACTCACACTTATGTAACCAACTTACTGAAAACAATAGATTTTTTGACAACATACATGGAGAGCAAGTGTCAAATTGACATGATATACCTTGATTTCAACAAAGCCTTTGACCTGATATCACATAAAAGTCTATTAATTAAGTATAAAGCATACGTGATATGAAGTTTTTTTAACCAATTGTACCATTGCATACAACTATTGTGCCATGACAACCAACCAAACCATGAGGTGTTTTAAACAGTTGTAGGTAACGTGTTGTAATGGGTAAAGTTTCATTATAATGTTCTCTTGCAAACTGCAATCAGTTTGCAAGAGAACATTAAGAAATTAGTTTAAGTAAATAGCTGATGAAGTTAAACAATGAGAAGTGCAAAGTTATGCACATTAAAAAAAAAAATCGTCAGACCAATCTATATAATGACAGAAAATGGCGTTGAATACAAACTTTGCCAAACAAAATAAGAATGTGACCTTGGCATGTTGGTCTCATCAGACATCAAATGGCATTATTTATTATTAGCATTATAATTAGCACAGATTGTACTTGGAACCATCAAGCATACTTTTCTGATTCATACCCTTTATAAAATATTCATTAAAAGATTCATACCCTTTATAAAATAAAAACCTTAACTTTAGAATGTAATTCCTTTTTTGGATTCTACAATCATCAAGCGGTTTTTATCCCGACAAACCTTCTTTAGTAATCATGTTGCAAATGAATGGAGTGTCTTACAATCAATCTGTTAAATGTCCCATCTGTGAACTCTTTCAAAGCAAGACTTAACAGATTTTTATTGTAAATTTTGTGTAATTTTAAAATTTTAAATATGTGATGTAAAACTCTATTTTTTTTTTTATATTTTATATTTTGAACTAAACTGTAAATTATTACCCATGTATAGCGTTATTCTCATAGTGCATGTATTATCTATACACGCATGTATTATCTATACATGCATGTATTGAACATGCATGTGAACATGTTATTCTTATAGTGCATGTATTTTCTATACATAGGTTTCTTGATTGACAAAGCAGCATAATAAGTAGAATAAAGAAACAAAACAAAAATAGTAACTAAAAAAAAGAACAGCTAAAAAATAATAATAATAAGTAATAAGAAAAATTAGTTTTGTGTAAAATGAAATGTGTAAAAATGTTAAAACAAAAAGAAAGGTTGAAATTTGTAATGATTTTTTCGTCAAATTATTCATTTTAGTTGCCTTACAACGACCCCTATTCTTGTGGAGGATTTATTGGAATTTCTAACCATACTACTAAATCACATATGGTGAGGGCAATTTTGGAATCAATAGCATTTAGGTAAGAAATATATAAAATAAAATTTGTTAGACCTTGAATATTTAGCACCTTAGTACATCTTTGTACACCTTGGTAGTTTAAATTTGCACTGCATAAATATTAGATCTGCTATGTAAAAATAGTAAATCTGCAGTCATAATCACATCTCTCCGTTAAACCCTGCGATAAGCAAACTTGTATTCTTATGTCTCCATTTGGTTAACGACAGGAGTAAATTTAGTTATCAGAAGGCTGTTAATGCCAAAATCTAACCCTGCTATACCTCCTATAAATATCTAACCCTGCTATACCTCCTATAGATATCTAACCCTGCTATACCTCCTATAAATATCTAACCCTGCTATACCTCCTATAAATATCTAACCCTGCTATACCATCTATAAATATATAAGTATACTTTTATAAAAAATAAGCTATAATATATACTATATCAAGTTTATATGATTTATCCCTTAATTGTGAAAAATTTATACACTTATATTTTAAAATAAATGTTATTGTAAAATGAAATGTATTTTGCATTTGATTATAATGAATGCACTGTAATGAGCAAATATGTATGTTAAATACATGTATGTATGTATGTATGTATGTATGTATGTATGTATATATATATATATATATATATATATATATATATATATATATATATATATATATATATATATATATATATATATATATATGTATATATATATATATATATATGTATATATATATATATATATATATATATATATATATATATATATATATATATATATATATATATATATATGTATATATATATATATATATATACATAATTGTAAATGTAATATGTATACATAAAATATATATGTATATATATATATATATATATATATATATGTATATATATATATATATATATATTGTATATATTTATACAATCTGTATATATAAATATATATACATACATATATATGTATATATGCATGTATATTAGGGTTATAACTTTTTGACTTTTTTAAAAAAAAATAATTTTCCGTGTCATAAATCTATGAACTTTTATTAGAAAACATTGAAAACATGTTCAATTCCTCTCGGTTGTAAAAAAAAAGTCACCCTGCAATTCAAATTACGTTTCATCTTTTAATTAATCTGGTTACTGCTACTACTAATACGTGTGGCTTTCTTGCAAATCAAACTTGTATAGATTAGAAGTGTTTAGAACTTTAGAACATTTTGGAAAATAACAGAATATTTTAGAAGACTTTAGAACACTCTAGAACAATTTAAAACATTCTGGAACAATTTAGAACATTCTAGAACAATTCAAAATATTTTGGAACATTCTAGAACAATTTAGAACATTCTGGAAAGAACATTCTGGAATATTCTAGAACATTTTAGACTATAAATAGTTGCTCATCTAATTTTATAGTTATTACAGAAGCAACACATGGTGTCGTACTAGCCTAGCGATAGTAGCATTCAGAAGAACAAGGATGTCTGGACCAATAATCTGGTAAAATTGGAAGGCTCTCATAAAAGAAGAAGAATGGTTCCTTTGGAAGAATATTCACTGGAAGAAAAGTGCAGAATGTCTCTCCAAAAGCAAATTATTGGATGCTACCATTTCCTTGGACCAAAAATCAAAGAAAGAAAGGAGCGAATAGCAGAAATTTCCAAAAAAGTTACCAAATTGTGGAAGAATAAACTGAATTTTCCTCATGTATCTGATCAAGTTATATAAGCAAAACTTGATAAAATACTGAAATGTTATGATGAATGTGTCAAGCAGGTAAGCTACAAACCCCTTGATGAAATTTTTGATATTACTAAAGTGGATGGAACATGATTATCTTCCAAGGACAAGCGGTTGTATCATCTCCAAGTGGAAAGCGAACAGCGGGATACTTTACAGGCCAAGCGGCCAGTAAGAAACAATTCATCCCTCTAAAAGACAAAAACTTTCTAATGAGTCATCCCACTCATCATCTTACTATCCTGGTTTTAGTGATTCTGACTCTGAGGCTGACGACAGTGAAAATAAAAACAATGAAGTAGAAGATGAGACAAGTCCTACACCAAGCAGAATACATAAAAGCAAAATTGCAGTCAACTTAGTGACCTCCATAAGAGTATAAACAAACAAAGCTGCTAACATATGCAAGCAATTGGCTTGTGAAGGCATTGACATCCCAACTCCATGTCAATCAGCTATTTGCAAGTCAACAATCAATGAGGCAATAAAGCTGAAGGAAGAAATGATTGAAAAGTTGCATATGGAAAGTTGGTCCTTACACTTTGATGGCAAGCACATCGACAGAATGGATTATCAAGTGGTCGTCCTTAAAAATGAAAGAAGAGAAATCAAATTAAATGTCCTTGGCTTGGTAGATGGCAGGGCTTTAACTATTGCTCAAGAAATTTCTAAAGTCCTCGATGAATTTCACCATGGAATTCAATACAGATGATTGTTGCAGATACCACCAGCATTAACACTGGAAAAAGAATGGTGTTGTTGTAATATTACAACAAATGTTCACAGAGAAATGCATCAACAAACCTTAGTTTATCAGTTGTCAACACCATGTATCAGATAAAATCCTCAGTTTGGTGATGGATGAAGAACTTGGAAGTAAATCACAATCGCCAAACAACGAATATCCATTTGTATCTCAACTGTTGAAGGAGTACGAACAACTGAAAACACAGTTTGATAACGGAACAGAAGTAATTCTCGAAACATCAGGCTGGAGAGATGGTATGAAATTTTTGTTTCATCTCACTTGAGTAATCCGATTTTTTTGAGGAAAAGGGAGATTTTCTATTGATCAGGTTTCAGAAAATACCCAACATCAGCAATTCAAGGTGGAACTCCAAAGCTATTCTAGCAATCTTGGCCTTCATTTTAATTCCTTCAAGAAGGACAGTTCTGCAGAGAGTATGGCGATTTATATCGTATGGCTGGGTAGACCATTGTGTTAAAGACCAACTGTACAACAAAAACGATTTTAATAACTTAATAATAAATACTGAATCCATACAAAAAGGCTTTAAGCTCTTTGAAAAATCACTGGAAGTGAGAGCCATCCATACTACAGATACCCAGAATTAATCAATGCACAGAGCGCGCAATCAAAGTAATAGAGGAAATTTATTCATCATGCAAAAATAAAGACAAATTGCACCTATGATTCGTTCTGTGCAACAAGCAAGAGCAAGGTCAATGGTTTGAGTCATTTACGGATTGAAAATTTATTGTATTACATGATTATGACATTCTAAATACATTTGAATATATAGTAGTACTTATGTCAAAATCGATTTTTATATGGCGGGGTGAACTTTTTTGAAAAGATATGCATATAATAGTTCATTTTGTGCTTTTTAGGTAAAAGTTCATCTAACTACAGTGCAGGAGCAAGGGGTTGATAAAAAGTCATAACCCTAATGTATATATATAATATATGTATATATACATATAATATGTATATAAATTAGTAGAAAATCACTTAGCAAATTTTTTTTCATTTATTACTGTTTCATCAATAAAGACTTATAATACAATTTTTGAAATCTAAAATATTCATTCAAAAACTATTGACAATTAAGTGTCTTTTTTATCTTGGGACTAAATAAATAAATTTGAATATATATTAGGGTGTTCCACTTTTAACCTGACCAAAAAATTTTTGAATGCACCCTATTTCAATCATCCTTATTTGGTCCCAGGACACACCTAAAAAAATTTTAGGTCTCCAAGTCAAGGGGTTCCAGTACAAGGTATTTTTATATGTGAGGTTGCATTTGATTTTTTGCCCCCTCTCTTTTTTTGGTGCCCCTGATTTGATTGAACAGTAGAATATTGTTCATTTTTCAGTTATTTTTGTTCTGAAAAAAAATCTTTCATTTAACAGTTAATATTAATACACAGTTGTTATTTAAAGACAAATAGACTCAAAAATTACATAAAATTTACATAAAATCACTTTTTTTTCATGTCTTTTCCAACCTCTTTTCGGTTTTTTTGCACAACTTGCATGGTATCCTGTAAAAAATCTTCGTCATGACTTTCAGACACAGTATCCTGTACAAGTTTGATGTGGCGCTCAGCCCTGTCATTTACTACTGCTAGATTCTCCATTTGATGTTGAAAATGTCTGTAGGAATCATTATTTTATGCATCATTATTTTATTTATTTTAAATTTTTGAAAGAAACAAATATAAATTAAACTTGTTTAAGACATAAAATGAGGTTTTTATACAAAAATTAAAATATTATGTCTAGGATGAATGAAGTAAGTCTTGATTCATTTAAGTATGCTGTTTTTGCAATATTTTTATATTGTTTTAGCGGCATTAATGGTCTATTCAAGTAATTACTGTTATGTAAAATGTTATCTGAGCTTTTAATTCTACTTTTCAGGTATAAAAAATTTCTTAAAATATACAATGGCCGATGATGATGGTGGATTTTCTTGTAAATCTCCACAGACAAGAAATGGTTGGAGTACTGTAAGAAAGAGAAATGAGAAGAGGTGCCTGATAAATACATGTTGCAGAAGTATTCCTCCAATAAGATATAGCTCTCCCAGGACTAGCAGGGATTGTCAACTAAGAACCTCAGGTACATCCTGCAACATAAGTTTAGCTCCACAGAAAACTAATAGGTGTAAAAGAACAATATACATACTTCAGCATCCACTACATATGTTTGTACCAAACAAGTATTATTTTAAGATTTAATTAAAATAATAAATTAAAAAAGCTTTTTCTAGGTAAAAAGTTTTTTTAATTTATGAAACAAATACGTAAAGACTTTTTCTTTCTTTTTGAATTTTGCTTAAACTACCCACACTGGGAGAAGTTTGTCAAGATCTATGCTTTGTGTTTGAGGGAAGTGTGAGAAAAGTAACAGGAGAAAATTTACTGGAGTATGTATTCTGAGAGAGCTGTTTGAATCAAGCCACCCTTGTCTTTGGAACAAGGGTGTCTTTGGAACAAGGGTTTGATTCAAGATTTCGTGTTACAGAACAAGTAGTGAAGAAGAAGCTTGAGAAATCTTATGAACACTACAAGAAACTGTGTCTTAGAACCCTTATGGAAATAAACAAGATCAAAGAAGAGCAATATAAAAAAAAAACAGAGAGTTTTATAAAAGAAGCAAACTGTACTTTTCCTGTTTATAAAACAGACATCCTAAAACTTATAAGAGATGACGAAAATAAAGACAAGCAAGCAAAGACAGAAGATATTGAGTTTCTGAAGAGAGCATTCAAAAGTGAATAATGATTAAGTTTGACACTGGAAAAGATAAATCTTATTAAGAAAAAATCATAGATAAGGAAAAGCAAATGATAGAATGAATGTTAGATATGCGTAGAGAAGAAAAAAGAAAAACAAGAACTAGCTTTTGAAAGGATGAGCAATAAGCTATATATATCCAAGTATGGTCCTCTGGGAAAGCTGCTCCATGCAAGCTTGGTCCGTGACAGTTGGTACCTGATTCACAGCTAGTTATTCTTTCAATAGCAAATCGACATTTAGAACTGAAGGAAAGAGTTGGACTAGCTCAGAAGCTGCTAGGTTTCAATTGTCCGCAACCTGATGATTTTGAAAGGGAACAACCTCACCCTCAAACACATGTGGTTCCCATGTCAGTTTTTTCTGACTTTATCACTAAGAAGTCCTGGTTGCTCTTCACATACCTAGGTGTAACTATGGAAGTAATAAACACATGGATAAAGGTTAACTTTGAAAATGATTCCTACAGACATTTTCAACATCAAATGGAGAATCTAGCAGTAGTAAATGACAGGGCTGAGCGCCACATCAAACTTGTGCAGAATTTTGTGTCTGAAAGCAGAGGGGCAAAAAATTTAATGCAATCTCACATATGAAAATACCTTGTGTTGAAACCCTTAGACTTGGAGACCTAAAAAATTTTTTGATGTGTCCTGGGACCAAATAAGGATAATGGAGATAGAGTGCACCCTAATATATATGTATATATATATATATATATATATATATATATATATATATATATATATATATATATATATATATATATATATATATATATATATATATATATATATATATATATATATATATATATATATATATATATATATATTATTTATTTAGTCCCAAAATAAAAAAGACGCTTTATTGTCAATAGTTTTCGAATTAATATTTTTTTATAAGGTTCTTACTGCTTTGCAACAATAAAAATGGGAAGTATTGTTACTTACAAATTACCACAAGAAGTAAACAAGCACCATGTTTCACTAATGGCTTGTAAGCACTGATCCATTATGGATACTCAGATCAAATGCATTCTTAAATGAATTACATTGTAAATCTTTTTGAACAAATTAACTAATAACCATGATAAGGTTTATTTTATTAGCCAAATTGTCTATTAAGATAAACTCTTATTAAGCTAAACTGTTTAAGAATAAGGTTAGATTCAGCAAATGTAAAATGTAGTTGTTTTGAAACGTCCTTCTTGTCATATTGTTTGATATCAAATCTCCTAAGTATTTATATTGTGTTGTATATTGTCGGTATACAAAGGAAATGCACCAAGTCAATTTTTCGGCAGTATGAAGTTATTTATACCAATATTTAGTATTTTAAGTTCTCTATCGTTTGATATACCACACAAATTTAATAAATCAATTATTAATGAGTTAAGATTTTTTATTTCAACTATTACACAAAAACTTATTATTTTAACTAATACACAAAAACATATTTGTTCATTATCTCAAAATGATGTTTTTGGACTTTTCCCTTGTACCAACGGTATGTTAGAGTTATACCGATATGTTAGAGTTATATTGGAGTTTGTAATCAAGGGTTCAAATCTTTTTTGAAACATTGTTTATGCTATTGATTAAAATTATATCACATTTCACAGCATGGCTAGAGCATAAGTCTAGTAAATTTTGGAGATCTTTGGTATTCATTATCTTGACAGTTGCTAGTTATAGAAACTCTTGGATAGTAATGACTAAAAAGTTAAATTCGTTCTTATGAAACATTTTTTGGATTTACAAATTCCCATTTAGTTTTATAATAAATGATATTAGCCGAACGTATATATATTTTTTAACTTGTATGTGAATTTTGTAAAGCAATTTACAATATTAACTTTAAAATAGAAAGGTGCTAAAGTCTTTATGCTGCGAGCAATGTAGCAGCTTGATTTTTTTGCCTACCCCTCCTCTAATAATTATTTTACAAAAAGTTGATCTTATAAAGACAAGTTTTTAGTACAATATATCAAGTGCTACTTAAGATAAACAATTTTGATATTTCGAATTTGTTTTTGCCTTTCCCATCCGTGTTTTAGAATTACATAATCATACACTGTATGATTGTATCATTGCACTGTATGATATGTACACAGAGTCCTGTATTACAGGTCTGTAGTAACAAAATATGGATTGGGTAGGCAATAAAGCTTTCTATATGCTCTAAGACAAAGCCATCTAGAGGTTACATAAAAAATATTTCTCTTATGAAACCATACCAAGCATAATTAGAAGATTTTAGGCAAAATCTTTTACAAAAGTATCCATGTTTTTTTGTATGTAGTACTTTATATTAAATATTATTTAAGACTTAAGATGTTTTCAATTTTTTTTTTTTTTTTTTTTTTGATTATTAGAGAATATTAAAATATTATAATTAAAAAGTTAAATAACATTTTTTGTATGTTCCGTACTAAAGATTCATTTTAACCTAAGAAAAGTTCATTTTCAAAGTAAAATTTTTTTTTGAATTAATTAATTTTTTTTGAATTAATTAATTTTTTTGAATTAATTAATTGTCAATTAAATAGAAAGAACACATTACAAGGTACACAGTGACGTAATTTATCATTTTAGAGTTAATATCTAGTTTAGAATAAAACCTCGGCTTAAAGATAAAGGTGATCGCGATTTCTTGAAATATGTCACAATAAAATCACTCGTTGTTAATATTTTAATCCGTTTGCAAAAATCGAAGAAAATAAAGTAATGAAAAAATGTGTAATCCATAAGAGTGAAGAGGCATAGACATAAAATTAATCAAAATGAAATTAAGTATTAAGTAGATACAAACTCTTAAAATTGTTCGTATGGTAGCGTGTTTTAATTAAATTTAAAGAATTACTCAGCAACCATTATTTAAAAAATTGCCGGCTGCAATTTACCAATTAAACAAAACCATCGTCTGTTGGCATCGCAACGTTTAGATGCGATGAGAAAAACAGCACGAAAACTAGTTAACTGAGCTAGCTAACGGAGGAGTTTTAATTGAAATATTTATCGAAGTGGTTAATATACGGAGCCTAAACGGATGGAATAGAATACTATTTACTTTCTTCCGTTTTAAAACCTGCCTTTTCTTAACGGACACTCAAGTTCTCCGTTAGTTTAACGGAGAGATGTAATTCTGGCTGCTGGATTCGTCAATGCTACGAATTTAATGCAAGATTTTTTTAGATTATATGAAACATATCAATTGGCTTTGGGAGAATCGACTTTTACTTTTAAAGATGTTATTAAGTACAAACTTTTAATATGTATTTTAGTATTTTATTTAATTGTGTAATTATTTGTTTTTTTAAAGTGTATGGTGGTGTATCCAATTATATTTTTTTAATTTAGAGTGTGCAGTGGCGTATCCAATAATAATTTCATTTTTTAGAGTGTGGTGGTGTATCTAATAGTAATTTCAATTTTTAGAGTGTGTGGTGGTGTATCCAATAATAATTTTATTTTGCAATTGATGAGCTCATTAACTGGATGCGTTATTGAACGATCAAGCGATTCTGAGATGTCCGTTCTTGGTGCAGTTTATTTAGCAGGATTAAGTCACGGTTCGTTTTTTTTTTTTTTTTTTTCATGCAAATTTGTTTTCAAAGCTAAAAAAAGGATATTAGAAGAAATTTTTTTTTTCTTAATTATAACGACAAACAACAAACTCAATATTCAAGAGTCATAAGTAAACATGTTAAGTTTGTCTTTATTTTAAAAAAGTTCTATACAATATTTTATACTGGGGACAAAGTACAGAACACGGATATTAACCTCAGTATCAGACGCACACTATATCATTAGTAAATGCATCCACTGGATAAATAAAGGGTTTTTTACTTTGTGAGTTTAAAAATATAAATATTATATTGAGATTTATGAAATGATATGTTCTTTTATATAAATATTATATTGACACATATACAGTGGTTTTCATAAATTTAGACGCACTCATATTTGAGAATAGAAAATTTTAGGTATTTTAACGATAAAACAATGACGAAAAAAGATTTCGGTTTAGTTTTTTTTCTATTTATCAGATAAATACATACAGAATACAAAATTTAAAAAAGTTTACAAAAAAAATGAAATACTAAGTAATAATTAGCTACATGGTATTAATAAAATTAGACAAAAAAAATTATTCATAAATTTAGACGCACGATACATTAGAAGGCGTAATTTATGAACCAATCAATATTTTGTGTATCCACCTTTTGCTTTAATACAACTAAGAACTCTTCTAGGCATAGACTCAACAAGATTTTTGCACATCGCTTCTGGGACCCCATACCAGGTCTCCTTAAGGAATTCCTTCAGCTGACCAAGTGTGGAAATTTGAACCTTTGCTAATTCACGATCAATCCAAGCCCAAATGTTTTCAATCGGGTTCAAATCAGGTGAATATGGAGGCCACGGTATTGTCATAATATTATTATCGTTGAACCACTCCTTTGTATAGTATGCAGTATGTGCAGTAGCGCTATCTTGTTGAAGTTTCCATGGTTTATCATTGAGCATAAGCAGGTCAATTGATGGAATTAGGTTGTTTTCCAGTACTTCTACGTATATTCTGGAGTTGATTCTTCCGGTGTATGTTTGGCACATACCAACACCTTTGTAATTGAAGCATGACCAGATTCCTATCGAGCCTCCTCCACTTTGTACAATTGGTCTAATGTACCTGGCGTAATACTTTTCGTGAGCCATTCTTTTGACTGTTATGTTAGATTTGCGATTGATAAGCTCAAAGTTACTCTCATCACTCCACATAATATTTTCCCATTGATCTATTGTCCAATACCTTCTTTCACGACACCATTTTAGTCTCCTTTGTTTATCATATGGACGCAGAAGCGGTTTCTTCAAAGCAGTGTAGACTCCAATCTTGTATTTGATAAGTATTCGGCGGACTGTGCTTTGAGAAATAGATGTATTTCGCGTTGTATTGAATTCTGTGGTCAATTCTTTGTAACTAATTCTTGGATTAGCTCTGACAGCTCTAAAAAGAACACTATCGTTCTTTCTCGTGGTTGACAAGGGTCTACCTGGCCTCGTTTTCTCGCTGGCACCACCAGTGTGAAGAAAGTTTTGTTTCGTTGTCCGAACGCATTTCTCAGAAACTCCAATTAACTTGGCGATTTCTCTATTACTTTTGGTTCCTTCTTTGATGTGCGCAATAATTTGCCATCTTTCACCTTGAGTGATACGTCTTTTGCCCATTTTTTACGTTTTTTTAGTGCAAAACTAACTTAACTTTTGTTTATTTATTAAATAATGATTAAATAATTCCAGGTAAGTCATATTTATATAAGGTTTTTTGACAAAATCAATTAATTTAGGCCTATTAATGAGAAATATAAGAAAAAAACTACTAATTAGCTATCAATTAACAAGATATAAGACTTTTTTAATTGTGCGTCTAAATTTATGAACAAAATAAAATCAAGTTTATCAATTAACTTTTTTGTGTTAATCAGTATAAAATGAGTAATAAACATCCTGTAAAAAAAATTAAGGTACTCTATAATAGAGTTTCATTTCCTCTTTTAAATTATATATCAAACATAGCGGTAGCTCTTTTATTTTATTTTTATTTTGAGTATTTTCTTACATATATGAAAAAAAAATTAATGCGTCTAAATTTATGAAAGCTACTGTATATTTCATATATATATAATGTGTATATTGAGCTATGCAACGCTCTTTTTTTATTTATTTTTTTATCACTATTTTTTTTTAAGGTGTTTGGAAGAATAAAGAAGAAATAAAAAATATGAGCCAGCCGTCTAGTGTTTTTGTTCCTGATATCAAAATACAAAGTTGTTATAGTAAAACATATATAACATGGGTAAAAGCAGTTAAAAGGTGCATGAATTGGTATCATAGTTAATGTAAAAAAATATCAAATCTTTATGTTCTTTATTTTGTAATATATATTTTTTACGATTTTCTTTTTATTGAGAGAGTTTATATTTTTTTATTTAACGACATTTGTATATCTTTGTTAATTGTATGACGGCAAATTTTTGAAGACTAGTTTTTTTACTTATTTATTTTGCTTTTTTACTTGTTTTTGTTCTGTTATTGATATATTTCAGCTTTTTTTATGTTTTATTGTTTTTTTGTTATTTGTAACGGTTTTAACTTTCTGAAACAATTTGTAAAATCAGCAAATATATATTTTTCTGAAAGTTTGACTCGCAAAAGCCGTTTTACTTGGGTTCATTCATATTTAGTAAAACAATTTTTTTTTACATAATATTAATATATCAAGGTTATTTTTAGAGAAAAATTTTTTATTGATATGTGAAACCTCTGCAAGAGTTTATGAATTTTAGGGTAATCTTTTTAGAAGATATATAACTATTTAGAAGAAAAAAAAAATTAATTTATTTGTGATATTGACATTTACTGTTTATACATATATATATATATATATATATATATATATATATATATATATATATATATATATATATATATATATATATATATATATATATATATATATATATATATATATATATATATATATATATATATATATATTATATATATATATATATATATATATATATATATATATATATATATATATATATATATATATATATATATATATATATATATATATATATATATATGTATATATATATATATATATTATGTATATATATAGTAAAAAAACACTTATCTAACTTGAGCTTCTACTGCCAGTTTCTCCTTCAGCATGATTATCATGAATCATCTTTCCTGCAGTAAAGTATTATTCTATCATTCCCGATGGTCCTATTGAAGGAGAAACTGACAGTAGAAGCTCAAGTTAGATGTTTTTTTTTTACACACAGATACGCACACATACATACATACATACATACATACATACATACATACATACATACATACATACATACATGCATACATACATACACTTTATAAAGAGCTTTAGTATTGTTGTTAGAAGTTTTTGTTTTTAAATATAGTTATGGGATTTTTTGCCAGCTATTCTCGCTTATCTACGAAGCAAAAAATATATGTTGGTTTATTCGGAATAGCTTTTTCTTTAGTTGGTCCTATCGTAATGCAAAGATTTTTCGATGAGCTATCTGTTTTAAAAGAAAAAGATCGTTTGTTTGAGAAAGAGATTTTAAAAGACAGAAAATCTAAAATAGAGACTATTGAAAAACAACACGAAAAAGAGTTAAAGAACCTGAAAGATTGAAAGCACTCAGTTTAATGTATTAAATGTATTAAATTGCTCTAAGAAATTTTATCCAAATGAAAATTTTAAAAAATTTACAAAGACAAAGATCTTGAAAAAGTGTTTAGGGAGGCCAACGAGCAAGTTATTTTGTTGTTTGTAAAACGTTGTTTATATAAATTTAATTTAATATCAATTTGTGTTTAAGTAAAAAAAACGTACAGTTTTTACAGGCGGAAATGAAAGTAGCGTCTTTTTATTTCGGAGAAAAATAGATATGAATATACTCTTATTTTTAAAATTAATAAAATACAATTATTTTTTAAATTTCTTAGTGTAAATTTAAGAAAATTTAAGTCGCAGACCAATTTTTTTAGTTATTGCATTATGGCTTATTAACTTCATTATTAAACTCGGTCCTTTTAACTTATATATTTGTGAACTTCACTTTACTGGAAAGTTGGGTATACTTGTGAACTTCACTTTACTAAAGATTTGGGTATACTTGTGAAATTCACTTTACTAAAGATTTGGGTATACTTGTGAGCTTCACTTTACTGAAGATCTATTTGGGTATACTTGTGAGCTTCACTTTACTGAAGATCTATTTGGGTATACTTGTGAGCTTCACTTTACTGAAGATCTAATTGGGTATACTTGTGAGCTTCATTTTATTGAAGATTTGGGTATACTTGATCTATTTTAGTACTTCAAATAGAATCAGTAACAAGCTTAAAAGTTGATTTGTTGCTAACTCTAAATCTCTCTAATAAAAGTAATCTATTGCAGTTTCACAAAAGTTTGCAAAAAAGAAGAAATGTTTTTGCTAATTCTAAAGATCTCAAGGTTATGTTAAAATTATTTTTAAGATTTTGCTAAATATAGTTTAAAACTGTTTCATAATGACTGTGGGAAAACATCAAATATTAGCAATGATTAATTTTTTCTACAAAAAACATCGAATATTAGCAATGATTAATTTTTTTTACAAAAACTGGGTATAAAGAGTATTGAAATTGAACGAGCACATCGCACTGGGCCAAAAAAAGATGGACGTTCGAGGGTGATAGTTTTAAAACTTCAACAATACAAAGACAAAGCTAAAATTTTGAAAGAATCAGCTCGTCTCAGAGGAACAAACATTTATGTAAACGAGGATTTTTCTCGCGAAACAGTTGCAATCAGAGAAAACTATTTGCGGAAGTAAAAGAACGACATTTAAACGGTGAGAATGTTTCGGTTCGTTACGATAAAATTATTTCTTTTAAAACTAATATTTTAAAAAACGTTCCAAACAAATAATGGAATTACGCATTCTAAAAAAGAAACCTTAACCTAATTTTAATAATCATGGCTTTTATGAACGATTTTGAATCTATTTGTTTTAATTTTTTTGAAAGAAACCACTTTTCCTCTGATAAAAACATAGACCCAGATAATAATTTTTATTACGATACTTTTACGGATTGTGCTTATTTTTATCCTAAAGAGCTTGAAGGTTTTTTTTTTTCAGAATGCAATTAAAAAAAGTTCCAATCAAATTAGAATTCTCCACCTCAATATAAGAAGCTTAAATCGGAATTTTGAAAAACTTTTAAATTTATTAGAAGAAACAAAAAATCTATTTAATATCATTTGTTTAACTGAAACATGGGTTACATTAAACGATTTTGACAATAATTTTAATATTCCTCATTTTAAAATTATCTCACAAGAAAGAAAAACGAGTAAACGAGGTGGAGGGCTTCTAATTTATGTTCATGAAAGTATCTTTATAATATGAGAAACGATTTAAGCGTCTCCGACGGCGATAAAGAAGTTTTAACAATTGAACTTTTACTCGAAAAAACAAAAACCTTTATACCAGTGGGGTGCGACTCGGCAAAATTTGCATTAGATTCTTGTAATTGCTGACGCAAAGGCTTCTGGGATGTGTAGTACAGCCAGATTGTAAACATAAACAACGAAATACAAATTAAAAAATACAATATATACTTTTCTATCGCATGATACAGCTGATTTTTATATACTTTTTCTTTCAATTATTTTAAGTTGACAAACTATTGTATAGAATACTAAACCATGTCTGCTGGATTTTGCGCAGCTCCTAATTGTCATCATAAACGAGGAAAAAATGTTGATAAAAGTGTGTCGTTTTTTCGCTTTCCAAAAGACAAAAATAGGTTAGTATCTATTTTATTATTAATATATATATATATATATATATATATATATATATATATATATATATATATATATATATATATATATACATATATATATATATATATATATATATATATATATATATATATATATATATATATATATATATATATATATATATATATATATATATATATAATTTTTATTTCAGATGTAAGCAGTGGGTTATCAATTGCCGTCGCAAAGATCTCGACAAGAAAACTTCATTAGAACTAAATAAATCATACGCTCTATGCAGTAAACATTTTGAGCCAACACAGTATTATCCAACAAATATTGGAGGCAAAAGAGCAATTTTAACAGCCATTCCGACCCTTTTTGATGTACCAAATCCTCCTCACAAAATTTCTATTAAAAGAAAAGCACCTTCAGAAAGATTTCTTCCTCAGTCACACAAAAAAAGTAAATCAATTTCTAATGAACAGTCTGTAAAGTTAGCAGTTGTTTCTAGTACAGACACTACCAACTCAGAAGATTTAAATATAAATGATAAAGCTAAAAAACAGATGTTAAATTTTCAAAAAGTAATTAACTTAAATCGTGTTAAAAATTATCGTTTAAACAAAAAACTATTGTTTTTAAAAACACAAAATAAAAAATGCAATGGATCTATTGAACATATTTGTGATCTTGCAAAGAAATACCTTTCTGAAAACCAGATTAAATTTTTTGAGAGTCAACTTAGAATGAACAAGCGAACAAAACATGGAAAAAGGTGGACAATACATGACAAACTAGTTTCTCTACGCATCTTGTATCATAGTCCACAGGCATTTCGTATTTTGAGGCAAATTTTTACTTTGCCAAGTAAGACAACTCTTCTTATTTTTTTGTCAAAAGCATTTGGAAACCTACAGCCTGGATTTTCTGCAAAAGTTTTTGCTTTACTCAAAATGCGAGTCAATTATATGAATGTCAATGAACGCAACTGTTGCCTTGTATTTGACGAGATGTCTCTCAAACAGCATGTAGACTATGAAAAAGATCTTGACCACATTATTGGTATTGATGAAGATGGGAAACCATTAAATCATGTTTTAGTTGTAATGGTTCGGGGTATTGCAATAAAGTGGAAGCAGCCAATTGCATATTTTTATAGCAACAACTCAGTTCAATCAGTTAAATTATCACAAATAATATTAGAAGCAATAGACAAACTGACTTCAATTGGACTACATGTACGAGCTGTTGTGTGTGACCAAAGTACTACAAATATTTCAGCTTTGAAGTTACTAGGGTTCCTTAACACAAGACCATACATATCACCTTCCTCAATTCAAACAAATGTATACATAATATTTGACCCTCCACACTTGATAAAAAGTCTTCGAAATAATTTAATTAGACATGATATATCTACAAATGGAAAAACTGTATCATGGAAATACTTGCAGTCTTTTTACAATATAGACAAGCAAAATCCAGTTCGACTTGCTCCAAAGTTGACAGACAGCCACCTTGAACCTGGATCTTTACTATCTATGAGAGTAAAATTGGCAACACAAGTTTTTAGTCACCAAGTTTCAGCAGCTATGTCCTTATGTATAATCGCAAAGCTTTTACCACCTGATGCATTGGCAACATGTGAATTCATTAAAAAAGTTGACACTCTTTTTGATATAATGAACTCTAGAAAATTAAAAGCAGACAAACCAGCTAGGTGTGCATTAACTGAAGGAGAGACTATGAAAACCTTGGAAGATATTAAGAATTGGATTTCTACATGGCATTATGAAAATGCTAGAAGTCAGACTAGTATTTCCAGTCACTGGGGACTTATAACAACAATAAACAATATTATGACATTGTCCAGAGAGTTGCTTGGTGAAGGTTTTCATTTTGTTTGCACATCACATTTCAATCAGGACTGTATAGAGAATTTTTTTTCGATTATAAGAAGTAAAGGTGGTTGGAATGACAGGCCAACAGCCAAACAATTTAAGTCTGCATACCAAAATGCTTTACTACTTACTTCTGTTGAACAAACTAAGTCTAATACAAATTGTGTTTCAGAATCTGATTTTACTGCAGCAATATCGTTAGACTTATGCCTTAATTTAGTAAATGAACAAAGTAATGTAGCAAATAACTCATTATTCAATGAACAAAAGTCAACTCACATAGGTAATGTAAAACCTTTGATACTAATAAAGGATTTGAAATTACAAATATGTTCTAAAACTGTAGAACAGAGTTTATGTTCTCTTGCTGGTTGGCTAATTAAAAAAGTCTCTTTATGTCAATTATGCACAAATATTTTATCTCAACCATCTGCTGAAATCTGTGGTAATTTTGATGAATTTGTCTATACTAAGAAATATGAAACAAAAAATCATTCAATAGAACCAAGTTCTTGTTTACGCGAAGTTGTAAGAGTAATGGAAGCCATTTTCACTAACAACATTAATAAAATAATTGTATGCAAAAATATAGCAGGAACTATCATTAAAGCTATCAAGAAAGACTGCAATTTCATTTTTTTATACAACCTCCACCCAAAACATGCATCGCATTTGGAGAGAAAACTGATACACTATTTTGTTGATATTCGAATTTATTATTTCATCAAATTTTACAATCGTGACATAGCTCCACGTTATAAAAAATGCCTTAAAAAAATGGCTCGTATTACTCATAAATAGTAAAAGATTATATTTAGTTAAAAAATGTGTATTTATTTATAATGTACTAAATTGAAATTATAAATTCTAATATCCTTTAATTTTTTTATATTATATATAAGATTAGGATAATAAAAATAGCAAAAACATATATAAAAGTATAAAAAAACAATATTGAAAAAATATCAAAACTAGAAGGAACGTTTGAGTTGTTTTATACTAACAGAGCTCAATAAACAATTCATACAGCAGTTGTATAATTTTAGGCTACTAAATAAAATGTCTAAATATTGAAACATTTACAAAACTATAATATAGCCTTATTGTAGGGTTGTTAAAAATTTTTCTT